ATGGGGATTTGTCACTTCTGGTTTCAGTTCTGTGATCTCTGTTTGATCTGCTGCCTAAAGCTATCACAAGGGGTGTTGTTAACCAATGTGATAGCAATAAAGTTGAATGAAAAAAAGTGTAAAAGAATTGATTTAAATAAAATAGGTGTAAAAAAGGGTAGGGTAAAAAGCAGGTCCCACTCACATATGTAAATGGTGATGACACCACAAAAGTGCAATAAAATGCAGCGCAATCCTCTAAACAACAATATTATAAAAGAGCATTGTGCTGCATTTTATTTCGCTTAAAGGATAAGTTCATCTTTTGAACAAAAATAATAAATGCACATTTTTTTGCAGGTAAAAAAATGTGCATTTATTATTTTTGTCTGAATGAGCCTGTAAAGCATTGGAGCAGTGATTAGCAGATTGCTGGTGCCAAGCAGGTGTCTTGCAGATCTGTCAGTATATCTGCTTGAACCTATTGGATGTACAAGCAAGCAGATAATACTGACAGGAAGATTCAATTAACTACCACAGGGCTCCACAGCACCGTGGTAGTTCAATGAAAACTACAAGTTGACAGCCGCTAAGGCTGTCGGGACTTGTGGTTCATTCATGCACAGAGGACTGTTAATGAATGATGTGGCCGTATGGGCAGAGCCCCGCATGGCCGCGCTGTTTTTAAAATCTGACAGCTTGTACAGGGAACTTTTCCCCGTACTTCTGTCAGTGGGGGGGATGGGGCAGTGGGCGGTGGCTGCAGCAATGGGAACCTGTTACATGTACCACCCTAAAAACAGGTGGAACATTTAACATGTTCCCAAAGATGAACTTTCACTTAAGTGTAATTTTTTTTTCCTGAAAATGTTTGTTTGATAAATGTGTGCTCAAATATCATGTGACATATAAAATTGCAACAGGCACCATTTTGTTTTCCAGGGCCTTTGCTTTCAGGAAATATATAATGTACTTTTTTAGCAAAGAAATGCTGATTTTAACATGTACAGTTGTGTTCAAAATAATAGCAGTCAGACATCACTAACCTGATCAATCACTGTTTTTGGTAGAAATGATATTTCTACATGGCAAATAATTTACTAGCAGGTGTAGTAGAATAATAGAAATCCAACAGACCCAACAGTCATGACATGCATGCTGCTGATTCTGTGTAATTGAATCACTCATTGAAAGGGGCATGTTCAAAATAATAGCAGTGTGGAGTTCTATTAGTGAGGTCATTCATTCTTTGAAAAACAGGTGGCAATTATTGCCCTTATTTAAGGAAGGAAGGCAGCAAATGTTGTACATGCTGGTTACAGTGCATTTCTCTCTGAAATTCTGAGGAAAATGGGTCGTTCCAGACATTATTCAGAAGAACAGCGTACCTTGATTAAAAAGTTGATTGGAGAGGGGAAAACATATAAAGAAATGCAGAAAATGATAGGCTGCCCAGCTAAAATGATCGCAAATGCTTTAATAAAATGGCAACCAAAACCTGAAAGACGTGGAAGAAAGCGAAAAACTACCATTCGAATGGATAGAATAATAGCCAAAATGGCAAGGACTCAGCCAACAATCAGCTCCAGAAAGATCAAAGAAGGTGTAAAGTTACCTGTGAGTACTGTTACAATTAGAAGACGCCTATGTGAAGCCAAGCTATCTGCAAGAAGCCCCCCCAAAGTCCCACTGTTGAAAAAAAGACGTGCTGAAGAGGTTACAATTTGCCAAAGAGCACATTGACTGGCCTAAAGAGAAATGGCGCAACATTTTGTGGACTGATGAAAGTAAGATTGTTCTTGTTGGGTCTAGTGGCCGGAGACAGTTTGTCAGACGACCCCCAAACACTGAATTCAAGCCACAGTACACTGAAGACAGTGAAGCATGGTTGGGCAAGCATCATGATATGGGGATGTTTCTCATACTACGGTGTTGGGCCTATTTATAGCATACCAGGGATCATGGATCAGTTTGAATATGTCAGAATACTTGAAGAGGTCATGCTGCCTTATGCTGAAGAGGAAATGCCCTTGAAATGGGTGTTCCAACAAGACAACGACCCCAAACACACCAGTAAACGTGCAACATCTTGGTTCCAGACCAACAAGATTGACGTTATGGAGTGTCCAGCCCAATCCCCGGATCTTAATCCAATAGAAAACTTGTGGGGTGACATCAAAAATGCAGTTTCTGAGACAAAACCATGAATTAGAGAAGAACTGTGGAATGTAGTCCAATCATCCTGGGCTGGAATACCTGTTCACAGGTGCCAGAAGTTGGTTGACTCCATGCAACACAGATGTACAGCAGTTCTCAGAAACAGTGCTTATACAACTAAATACTAATTAAGTGATTCAAAGGAAAGAAAAATCTTCAAACATTTATCAGTTTATATAGTGAATGTTTGAGTTTGTAAAGAAGAATACAAATACTGCTATTTTTTTGAACAGTCTAATATTCACTTTTCTTCAATTTTTTTAGAGGAAGAACACAAATTTGATATATTTTTCTTCATGTTTTGATTTGGAATAGAATGTGTAGTGTTCCCAATGCATTTGTGTGTATGGAAATAAAAGCTATTAGAAGGATTTTCAGCTTTATTCACTTTTTTCAACACACTTCTATTATTTTGAACACAACTGTATGTGAAAAATGTCAAAATTGCCCCAGACGGCAGGAGGTTAGGATTCAGTGCAGCAGACCAGAGTTACAAGTGCACTGGTTTTTTGGTATGATTAACTGGTACTTTTATATATTTTTGAGCTGATATAGCAAAATTATTTCAATGGTAAATTTAAGAGAAAAGGGGGCAAATAAGAGACCTCCATTGTTATGGTTTACACTTTGAAGTAGCATAAAGTGAACTACAGTGAAAGATTCTATTTACAAGGTGTGTTCAGAAAGAAATGAGAATTCTATATTAAAAATTATTTTACTGAAAAATTTTACATTTGAACATTGTCTCCTTTAAAGTATGCACCTTGTGATTGTACACAACACTCCCAGCAATTTTTCCATTCTTCATAACATCCCTGCTTCAAGTGGGATGGCGTTCAGGGCCTGCGTAGTGCCTCTTTCAACATTATCAAAATGGTGTCTTTTCAAACCCTTCTTCATCTTTGGGAATATGAAAAAGTTGCAAGGAGCCAAGTCAGAGATGTAGGGTAAATGGGGAAGCACCGTAATGTGTTTTTCAGCCAAAAACTCTCTGACAGCCAAAGCACTTTGACTCGGTGCTTTGTCGTGATGAAGGATCCATGTTGAGCCAATCGCAGAACACACACGTAAAACTTTTTGTCTCAAGCAACCAGATAAGAACTTCCAGGTAAAGTCTGTGATTCCTTATGGACAATTCCATGCATTAAGGTAAAAAATGTTTTGCCTCTAGAACCACTTTATGCTTGTTCTGTCAGGGACCTCGTCCCCAGCTTTATGTTTTGAACTTGTTTTGTGTGGAGTTTGCAATTTGCTACTGTTTATTATTTAATGCACAATGTTGCATAATATGCTGTCACTTAAAAAGAAAAAAAAAAGATAATTATAATAATAATAATGTCTCTCCTGCATTATGTTGTTAGCTACTGTAGAGTCTGAACTGTCCTTCCCTAAACAATCCGCTAAGCACTGGTTAATATTCATAACACTGCATGCAAGGTTCCAGATTCCAGTCCTTTTGACGAAATTAATGTTGCAGAATGTACTTTGCTATCACAAGCAGTGTTATTTAGATGCTTGAGCATTGTCCCAGGTGAACTAATTAAAATTAACGTATAGTTCTGGATCCTAGGTTCCATTCCTCACCATTATGTGGAATTGTCTCCTTAAACTGAATCACTTAACAACTTGTAATGCAGCATGTTCTTCTAATAGATCCCTGCCTGAACAGTTAACCTGTAAAGATGAAGATATAGTTCTATTTTTGAATGTGAAAGCCCCTCCAAACTCAAAAACAAATTTAATATCAGTTCACCAAGTTGAAAGTTATTTTAATGACACTTGCTATATTATCCCATGATCATTTTTTGTTCTATTCACAAACACAAATGCTGCTTAATTTTGGAACTGAGCTATTTTGCATTAGATGACCATTGAAATTTTGACATCCTCTTATGCGTTTGCTATCTAACAAAGCTGTAATTTATCACCTACTCAAATCACTTCTTTCCTCTGCTTCTCAGGAGTCACTGCATTGACACACAGCTTTCTTGCCTGCCTGAAGGTAGTTGTATTTTAGGAAGTAATAATCCTTTCTATAATCTTTGTGAATTGGTGTTTACAGTCAGAATACTTTAAAAAGAACTCAATAGAGCAAGGTGCATGTGATAAATACAACTGAACCTCATTGCAATGTCTTTAGTGCAGTACTGTACATTTTTCCCCTCTGTTTCTCTTTAACCACTTGCCTACAAGCCACTTCTACCCCCTTCCTGCCCAGGCCAATTTTCAGCTTTCAGCGCTGTCGCACTTTAAATGACAATTGCGCGGTCATGCAACACTGTACCCATATGAAATTATAAATTTTTTTAGACAGATAGAGCTTTCTTTTGGTGGTATTTAATCACCACTGGGTTTTTTATTTTTTGCTAAACGAACCAAAAACAACTGAAAATTTTGAAAAAAAAGTTTTTTCTTATTTTCTGCTATACAATTTTGTAAATTAGTGATTTTTCTCCTTCACTGATGTGCGCTAATGAGGCTGCAATGATGGGCACTGATAGTCTGCACTGATGGGCACTGATAGGCAGCACTGATGGGCACTGATGAGGAGGCACTGGTAGGTGGCACTGATGGGCATTGACAGGCATCACTGATGGGCACTGAAAGGAAGCACTCATATATGGCACTGATAGGCAGCACTCATATATGGCACTGATAGGCGTCACTGATGCACACTGATAGGCGTCACTGACTGGTACTGTTAGGCGGCACTGATAGGCAACACTGATGCGCACTGATAGGCCGCACTGACTGGCACTGATAGGCCGCACTGACTGGCACTGCTAGGTGGCACTGATTGGCAGCATTGATAGGTGGCACTGACTGGCATTGATAGGTGGCACTGACTGGCACTGATAGGTGGCACTGAAAGGCAGCTCAGATGGGCACTGATATGTGGCACTGATGGGCACTGGCAGGTGGCATTGATGAGCACTGACAGCTGGCATTGATGGACACTGACAGGGCACACTGATCATCAGTGCCCAGATGATCAGTGTACATGTCCCCTCTGAGGAATGCCGATTACCGGCTCTCCTCTCCTCACGAGCTGTCAGCGTGACAGCTCCTGAGGAGAGAAATGCCGATAACCGGCATTTCCTTACTTACATGCGATCAGCTGTGACTGGACACAGCTGATCACATGACAGAGCCGACATCTTTGGCTGTTTCTGTTGATCGGTGATCCGCTGTGTCCGAGGGACACAGCGCACCACTGATCGCCGCGCTGCGTGCCCCCGGAGCTGCGCACGTGCGGTTAGAGTGGGAGGGCGTCATATGACGTCCTCCCAGAACGAGAGAACCGCCTTGCATCTGTCATTTCCTTATATGGCGGGCGGGAGGTGGTTCATTTATTGAGGTACACATCTGTTGATTAAAGCTCAACCATATACAAAGGGATTACAGTGTTATCTACAGGAGTAGGCCAAAAAACTATCGAATTTTACAACTTTTAAACAGCTGATTGGCAAACAGGCTGTCTCTCCAATAAACAAAAAAGTGCAGCGCTAAACTAAAATAAATAAATATATAAATTTCCAGATGATTCTACGTTTAAAGTCACCAAAAACGCAGACTAAATGAGAAACCAAAAACCCATAAAAGATAATAATAGATGAGTCCGAAATATGAAGAGGAATGAATATAAATATAAAGTGACTCTTGTGCTCAATGACTCTGGGTCCGGTACCAGTGCAATTTAGTGATGTAGGTAATCCGCACTCACCATATGCATTCCTCTTCATATTTCGAACTCATCTATTATTATCTTTTATGGTTTTTTGGTTTCTCATTTAGTCTACATTTTTGGTGACTTTAAACGTAGAATCATCTGGAAATGTATATATTTATTTTAGTTTAGCGCTGCACTTTTTTGTTTATTGTCTATGTTTAAGGTGTTATTGGTTACCTTTGTGTGCACAGCAGCTTTGGTCTTCACATTTAGGCGCTCGCATTTTCTTTACTATAAACTTATGTGCATAGTCGCTCGTTCACATTTACTCCAGGCGCTCACTTTTTCTTTCCATAGGCTGTCTCTCCAGTCTAGCTGAGGAGCAGTAATGCTTCTTTGAATTTGGATCAGGGCTCACTGGGGGTTATTTACTAAAACTGCATGGTGCAAAATTTGGTGTAGCTCTGCACAGAAACCAATCAGCTTCTCGGTTTTATTATCAAAGCTTAATCGAACAAGCTGAAGTTAGAAGCTGATTGGCTACCATGTACAGCTACACCAGATTCTGCATGCACCAGTTTTAGTAAATCAGCCCACCACTATGTTAACCAATTCTTTTACCTTAGACAGTGATGGCCTTCGAGTACTGTTAGTTCACTGGTCACACATATGACAGACTGCATTGGACTTCCTGTCATTGTGTTTAAACTTTGGCCTTGTGCCTATGCTTTACAGGTCTAGGAAGGTTTACTGCTAAGCAGTCTTTTTTATCCACTCTTTCAGTCTGTAATACCTGACTCTGCCTACCCTCTTCTCCTTCCCTAAGTGACTTGGCAGCAGTTCTAGATAAAGCAGCAACTTATATTCCTGGCTGTGGCACCCACAACCTTCCCAGGTATCTTTGCTGCTGTTTTTCTGCTTTTATTTTTCCCCTCCCTCTGGTCTTTGTTGGGAGATTCAGTCAGGCTCAGGGGCTTTTACAGGACAAGTCAAGGTGAGTTGCCTAGAAGTACAGCTGCAACATTCATTACCTGAGCGCAGTTTTTTTTCTCGACTGTTCAAATGCACATCGGCAGGTCTGTTGCCACCCTCACAGACTGACACATTAGTCCGTTGTTGGAGCCTTTCTTTGCAAGTTTAATATTCAGAGAGTGACTCCTTTTGTTAGACCAGTGGCTTCTAGATTTGTATGGGATACTGGATGGCCTATACTAGTACTGCTGCTTTGTTATTAAGAAGCCATCTGGGCTGATAGGGGATATTTTGAAACATTGTGAGCAGTTTAAGGTCACCTCAGCAACATGGTTGACTCCTAAAGAGGTCTGAACATTCCACAGTGAACAAACTTCACTCACAGAGTTCTTTCTTTGCAGTGGTTGGTATACAAAGTTAGATGGTAACCAGGGTAAGTCATTCTGTGACACCTATTTGGAAGTCTCAGATTTATTTCCCTTTCTTCCTTCATCTGATACCCTTCGTAGGGGCCTTTTAGGCACCTTACTCTTCCCTTACCCTTGAATTTCTCAATTTTGTTATGGGTGGATTCATTTCTGGCAGACATACTGTATAAAATAGATCAGTGTAGTCTCACCAACTTAACCAATGAGTACATATGTCTCCTTAATATATAGATTTAGACTCAGTGTCACAGACCTGCTTTATATTTCTTAGCAGTAGCAAAACCTCAAAAGTGTATTACACTGGATTCAATAATGGCTGAGGATATCTTTTGTCACAATGTCAGGGAACTAGGACCTTTGATGTATATTCTACTTTGAGGAAAAACATTATGGCATCAGCAGCCCTTCCACTTGATGTCACACATTGCCATGGTGAGCACTTGCATCAAGTCATCTATCCAGGAACATGTGTGATGGGAATTGTCCACTTCAACTACTCCTGGAGATGGCACTATAACCCACTTGTGTATTGTTGATCTTCAACCAACACACACACACAAAGAAAAAACATTTGGGACAAGTAAAAAAAATTCAAATTTTCACCTGGTTCTCATACTTGTTTCATATCTACATTGTGGCATTCCTTTTGTAGTCACTTCCTATTTACCTGCATGCATGTTTGCAACTGCTGCATGGTATTGTTTAGGATGGATTTCCTAATGGTAACAACAGTGGAACATGCCTATGCCATATTCATTGGCACAGCCAAATTGTAGTCTACATTAGGAAGCCATCAATGCATGGGAATGAAATTGCCACATGCATTCATCATTTTGTGTGATTGCTCTTATGAAGCAATAAAAAGTATATGGACATTCTTTCCATGAAAAAACTAGCCACATTCTTTGACTCCCTTGTCACAAACAAAGAAAGCAGTACAATGGATTTGTCATGCATTGCCATAAACCTTTGCACCGCTATATTTAAAAAAACCAAGGCGTTTTGTTTTGCATTTGGATATATTTTTCAAAATGTATTTGTATAGGTCATGGTCATGTAACCTTAACTAGACTGTTAATATTTAATGAGTACAGCAACAGCTGAGTAATATATATCAGTGTGCTTCAACCTTCAGTTTTATACTGTACCATAAAGTCAAAGTAACTTATCCTGTAGAGGAGAAATGTACATGACCCTTGGAATCCATTACAATTATGCAAGTTGGACTAGTGAGATTTTGCTCTCTTTCAGCCTGCATGATAAATAGGTCCCTTTGAGACTAGCAGATAGTTTCCTTGTGTTCTAGAACATTGTTATATGTGTATTGTTATAATCGTGCTGAGAAAATGAAAAGGATTTTTAACTATGTATGCAGAAGGGATCCGGCAAGATAGTTTAAAGCAAGCTAGCATATCGCAGTAGCTTACTCTGGTAGCAAACTGCCACACAGAAACAAATAAATGTATTTATTTTTTAATTTGATTTAGTTGCATTAAAAAACTGCACCATGCTTTGCTTGTATATAAAATGTGTGCAGCTAGCGTGATCTTCATTATCAGCATATGTATTATCAGAAACACTAAAACCTTTTCTGTAAATAATGCACATTTGTGTGTTGTATCCCCATGTTGGTAAGGCTGCGTTTATATCTAAGCAGGTCCCAGCAGTATGATGCCTACAGCTACTGCATAAAAATGAACAGTAATACAGTCAAGCACACTTATGATCAGCTGAGAGAGATCATTTTCTATTTTTTTTAAGATAAAAAAATGCATGCAGAAAAGCAACCGAACTCTTTGTAAAATTGTGAAAAAATAAATTGGTCAGCAGTTGTAAGAAAAATCAGCTTTTACTGCAATACATACCTCCTTTCCAGCACTGTCTCACAGATATACTGCTCTGCCATCCAGTACTGGTTCTCGTCTGGGTTGATTGAGCCCACCTCTGAAATGAAAAAAAATGCACAAACCATATCCTTTTATAGTGTGTACTTGCCTCGATTAAAAACACAAAAGTGTGATTTCTAGGTTTTCTCTTCTCCCTCTATCTGCATAAGTCACTTTTGATCATTTATCCTGACACCAAGGCACCGTTTACCCTTCAGTACACAGCAGGTGATTGACAGCCTCAGCTGTTAATTTTTCTCTATGAGATTGTGTATAAATTTTGTACCTGTTCCCTTCTCTCAGATCTCAGATTACACGCAGCTCTCCTCTCGCTAGCTAGGCAGTATGTAACATCAGATTTCCACCCCCTGCCTCCTGATAGAGAACCACTGTGTAAACTGTATACCTTGAAGAACTGTAGAGGAGAAAAGGCTGCAGATAAACAGGAACAGCTTATGTAGGAGGATTTGTTTAATCTGTGTGTATCACCTTAGGCTAGTCACTTCAGTGGGTATATGTAAGCATTTATAACTGGTGTGTCATTACGCTCACATTACTTTTAGACGCACACTATGTGAGACAAGACAATATCACCTGAGGAGAAGAGGAAGGACTGGTAAGGCTATTGGAGCAAGGGGGAAATTTAGGGAGGGTAACAGGTGGAGTTGGGCTTTAAAATGTATGTAAACCAACAAAAAAGTATTAAGGATATCTCCTATAAACAGTGGATGTTTCTTTGGGTGCATCATACATTGGCATCAAACAACCTGGATGGGTTTCACTCTTTTTAGTGCTTACTAAAGTGCATGTCTGACCTGTGAGTAAGCACCCAATGTGCAAAATACATAAACATTGTATCTTGGCTTATTAGACTTGTGCGATTCATTTCATTGTGATTAGTTTTTGGCATCAAATCCGAAAAAAGTTATAACGAAACTAACAAACACATTTGTTTCATTTGGTTGACATCACATGATGTGATAGTAGTTCGAGGTCATGGGGAAATGAATTACATTTTCAAATTTATTAGGATAACAAATGAATCCAAATTTCATTCTCTTCATTAATTCAGATGCATATGATGGCAGTCAATATTATCCAATCAGCTCATGCCATTTCTCTTGGTGGGTTGGACTAGCATCCAAAAATATTTAATCCAATTCGATGATATATCAAATATATAGCAATCTTCTGGAAA